TGATTTGGAAGGCCAAGGTAGCACATTGATGTTATTCTGCTCAAGGTAGTCCATTATTAAACACGCTGTGTGAGGCCCAGCATTGTCTTGCTGGAATAACTCCATCTGTCGGTCAATAACATGCATAAGGTGAGGTTGGAGAATTTCGTCTCTGTACCTTTGAGCCGTTAAATTACCCGGAACATGTACCAATTGCGTTTACGGTCATTAGAGATATCAGCCCACATCATGACACTTCCTCCACCGAAGCTATCCACTTTTTGGACACACGAGGAAGCAAAATGTTCATTCATGCGCCGCGGTTGACACGAGTTCTTCCATCACGTTTCTGAAGCATAAAACGGGACTCATCACTGAACCAGATTCTGCGCCAGATTCTGCGCCAGTTTCAGACTGTCCAGCCGGTCTCAATCTGTTGCACCATCGGACTCTATTCCGTCTGTGTAACGACCTCAAAACGGGTCCAAAATATGGCCTCCTGGATCTAATGCCATGTTGTCGCAGTCGATTGCGGACTGTTTGTGAGCTGATTCTTCTCAATCCTGGTCCCCCACCAATAGTGACTGTTGCGGCAACGGTTCGATTCTGTATATGAAATACCCGGATGTAGCTATCTTGTCCTGGAGTCGTTTGGCGAGGTCGTCCACTCCTCGGGTGGTCCTTAGTACAGCCGGTCTGCTGGTATCTGTTCCAAAGTCGCGAAATTGTGCTCTGGTTAACATTTTCAGTTCTTGCTACTTCACTTTGGGACACTCCGGCCTGGAGACGGCCGATGACGATGCTTTGAATAGCAGGTTCCAACCTTAGCATGGCAGCGTTTTAAAGTTGTGATGAATTAAATCTTCAAACTTGGTACTTATATGTGCAAAAGTGTAACCGTTGAGTTGACCACAAAATACTCGTGAAAAACGTTAGCAAAATTTCGCGGCGAAAAAGGTCATAATCACTTTTAGCGAGTCGTAAATTTCATGTGGCAGAGAGCCAAATCAAAAGAACGGGCATTTAAAGTTTAAAACTTACCTGTAAAAATTCGGAGATGCAAATGACCGTTTCATTTTACCTTGTAAATAGATATAAGAAGATGTGGTATGAGTGCCAATGAGACAACTCTCCATCCAAGTCAAAATTTATAAAAGTAAACCATTATAGGTCACAGTACGGTCTTCAACACGGAGCCTTGGCTCACACCGAACAGTAAGCTATAAAGGGCCCCAAAATTACTAGTGTAAAACCATTCAAACGGGAAAAACCAACGGTCTAATCTATATAAAAAACGAGAAACGAGAAACACTTATGAACCACATCAACAAACGACAACTACTGAACATCAGATTCCTGACTTAGGACAGGTGCAAACAAATGCAGCGGGTTTAAACGTTTTAATGGTACCAAACCTTCACCCTTTTTCTGAAACAATAGTGTAACATCACAAAATAGAAAGACACACTATTAATATCAACTGAAATAGCTTAACTCAATCAAAGGACATATTAACACCATTGAACATACACTGAACAAATAAATTTGACCTATGATACAATGCAAATACAAAATAAATAAACTAAGGGAAGAATAATAAAAGTAACATGTTATATCGGTAAGAAATGTTAAACAATTAAAGAAAAACAATATGCTCGAACACAAAATATATATTTTGCATTTTGAAAAATTCATCCGAGCTTGCGTTTCTTTTTTTGAACAGTATATGATGTTTCGATAAAAATAAATATACAACGATTATACAGCGATCCAACACGAATAAAAAACGAACAAATACAATACAATTGGAAAAGAGACAGGCGACAAAAGTAACCACTGGGTAAAATATGGTTTCTACTAATCCCTTAATGGGCAAACATTCCCTATCCAGCTTAAGCAATAGAAAGTAAAAAATCTTTATGTTTGGATAGAAGTTTACTGGCTTTAGAGACCATCGTGGGAAATAATACACTTCTATTCTTCGGGTTCAGATTTGCGGGAGCCCCGTAGTCCAAGCCTCTACATTTAAGTCAAGGTTACTAAAGTGTTTCTGTGATAGCCAAGCGGCCAAGATGTTTTCATTTGTATTTCTAGTAAACGTATATATAGTGTTGGGAACCACAGAAGATAAGCTTGGAAACTAAATAATGTATTGCATGAACCCAGCTGGCAACTTCTTTGTATTTGTATTTCTACGTATACATAGTCTTCTGTTGGGAACCACAGAATATAAGCTTGGAAACTTAATTGTATATTGCATACGCCCAGCTAGCGAATTCTTTTTATTTGTATTTCTACGTATACATAGTCTTGGGAACCACAGAAGATAAGCTTGGAAACTTAATTATGTCTTAAAAAAACAAAGCATATGGGGTATCCATCCATAACACAAAATCAGTACATGCACACCAAAAACACACAAAAGCAAAGGACCAACGCATCTATTGTGGTTCGTCATCTCAAATTCACCGTGATGCCTTCAACACGGAGCAAAAAAGAATTTTCACCTCACTGCAAGTTTAAGACGAACCCTAGCACCGGTTGAGCGGAATTCTTTGAAAAATGATTCGGATAGACTTTGTAAGGTGTAACACCCCAAATCGAGCCCGGTCATAAAAGAACATACTGGAAAGTAGTACACACTTAAAACAAAATGGTCCTACGCATAGGTGATACGTGAGCCCAGCTGTCACATTCTTTTTATGTGTATTTCTACATATAAATAGTCTTGAGAACCACAGAAGATAAAAGAGAGGCAAAGGATACCAAAGGGACAATCAAACTCACAAGTCGAAAATAAACTGACAACGCCATGGCTAAAAAGAAAAAGACAAAGACAAACAAACAACCGTACACAAAACACAACATAGAAAACCAAAGACTGAGCAACACGAACCTCACCAAAAACTTGGGGTGATCTCAGGTGCTATAATTATTGAACAGACCTGCACATTTGAAGCAATATATTAATGTTACTGTAAAAATCTATTAATTTTATGATTTGATCCTATTTTAGACTGCTCACAAGTTTTTTACATACACTGTAAAATGAACACGCATGGCTTGGTCGGTTCAATGTATACCGATTTAAGGGGTTACGGAAAACTTAAATTGAAGCGGAGACTACTATTGTGTACGTAGCAGTCTAAGATGAGGGACCAATTGATAGATTATTGATTATTGGACAGCGGTGTTACAGCACAACCTCAGAACAAACTGTTAAATTCAGTTTCAATTTGCAAATCAAAGGATTGGTAAGAGGCACTTAAACAAAAGACACAAAGCACCGAAAAAAGAGTACTCGTAGTTACTGAAAGCTAGTTTAATGCAAATTACCACTAATAAATAAATCATCATGTTTTCCTCAGGTTAAAGTATCAACTAGTACACATCCAACAGATTACGTGTAAATTATGACGTTATAAACAGTCTGAGAAACGCATGACATTGTGCAATGCCAAAATATAAGCAAACAGTATCTACAGGATGTAGTATCATAAGTTATCATAACTGTACATATATAGCATCATATAGTCAGTTATGTTTTAATTTTTCAAAACTAAAAAAACTATGTTAGTAGTCCAATAAAACAATATTTAAAGATTTAACTACAATGTTAAATTGATAACCCGGCTTTTAAGAATAAGTTTATCTAAAGGATCAACATGGAATGTGTCTAAATCTACAGGCTTTATATAATAAACAACATCACCGTAAAAATTATGATGGGATATACCGTTTGTAACACGGGGGGGGGGGGGGGGGGGGGGGGGGGGGGTCTCAACATGGGATTTTGGGTACAGTTGTGCAGCTGGGATTTAAAAAACACCCCCATTCATATATTGAATAATTGTGAAATCCCTACCTATACATATATTTATATAATGAGTTTAGGAAATTCAGTGAAGATCGTTGCACAACAAACTGAAAAATTATGACAAATTGATACATCACAATTGGTCAATTACTACCTATTGATATATTTCCTTAGTAAAATTGCACCCCATTGATATATTTGGCGTATCAAAAAAGGGACCCATTCCACTGCATTCCAGCGGCACATATGTATATACCTTCATATAGGAAGAGACCCCCCCCCCCCCCACCCCCCCCCCCCCCCCCGTGTGTGCAGCCAAACTTTCTAACCAAATATTGATATTTATGAAAGAATTTGGTTAAGGTTTTAATAACTTTGTGGTAACGAAATCCCTGCCGTTTAATTTACCAGTTATAAATAAATTATGTTCATTGAAATCTAAAACCTTTGTGAAATGTATTATCACACCGTCAGAAGGGGCTAAAGGAATATGCCTGTTATGGTCTCATTGACATTTAATACCACACCTTTATTCAATTTCAGCACATTGTTCATATATCCTTTACTAAAGAAGTTGGTAAATTAACTTCAGATAGAAATACATTCTTGGAAGAAGATGTTGAAACTAAGGAATTGAATTTTCAGAATTGAGCCGAGCGGACCGAGTCGAAAAAAAGTCTTTTGTGCCAAAACAATATATTTTTATTGTATTGGGAAGAGATGGGTGTGGGTGGCCAAAATTTTTCGATGCTCCCGCTCCCTATCTGAAGTATTAAAAAATTGGACACCGGCCCCTTTCCATGCCCATAAAAATTCAAGCCCCCCCCCCCACAAACCCCCTTATTTTCGTCTCCCCCTTTTATGTTACAAATGACCAGTCCCTTAGTCCGATCTCAGATTGATGATATTTATATAGAGTCGTTTTTAATCTTTATGATTGCAAATGAGACAACTATCCACCAGGCAGCTAGAGTTCAAATAAAGTGGGTGTAAGCAATTGAAGGCACCCGTAAGGCCTTCAACAATGACTAAGTTTTGTTTCATTTTTAATAAATTCCAAATTATTCGTTTAAGAAATGTGAAACACTTTGTTTTCATAAGTTCTTTCAAAGAAGTATTAGTTCCCAGGAAAAACAGCTCTGTAAAACAGCAAATATTTAGTGTTACCTGTATGAATAGTGAAACCACGTGCTGTTGTTTATATTTACGGTACAGAACGCATGCGCAAACAGGTTACTCATCCGGGACGTTTGGCCTACGCGCGAAATGATGTCGAAGGAAAACACAAAATAGATCAAATGGTAAGATGATTGATTGTCTTAGATCGATAATTATTTGCATTTTATAACAATAATTATATCATTTTGTATATGATAGATTTGTCAGACATCTTTCAATCTAATTTTCACAATCAGTTTTGCACTTTCTGGCAAGTAGCCATTTTTGGGGACCTTGGCCGAAATATTAAAGTTGATGTTTGAGTTCTTTTAAATCATTTGTCGATTTTGATTTTCAGAAAAAGTATTTGAGAACGATTTAATAAACAGTAATAATGTGTCTGGCCATATGTCAAGGTTGATGTCGATGTAAGAATTGTGTCAGGGAACCGCAGTTTCTCAGCTTTGAAATTTTGTATTGATCGTCCACGAGATGACGTCATCTGATTTGACCCCATTTCACTCGTGTGTTGTAATGTTGACATTTTGTGTTCTCTTGTGATGAAATGAGAAAAACTTGGCAAACTTTAAAGCAGAATTAAGAAAATAAAACAGAATCTGGCAATGCCATGTCAGAGAGTTAACAATTTCCCCCTTTAAATCGGTGCTAAGTTCAACAAGACAACTTTCACATTTCTTTCACATTTTTCTTCCCAAACTTAGGTCAAGTTAGGACAGAGAAGTTAAGTTTGCCAGCTGTCAGAATTGGGTCAGAGTTAGTGTTATCCTGTGATATGGAGACATATTTTAACAACAGTTTTATACAATATTTTCCTATTATGAAACTTTGACCTACATAATACATTTGAATGAGTGAATTCTATATTTCCTGTTCACCAGTGTGCCCTTTAGGAACAGTTGCTTTTAATATGCGTTGAAGAATTATTGTTATTATATGCAGATATTTTGGCGCCAACGTCAAAGATATATATATTTCTGATGGTTTATTACAATTGAGTATTGTTGCCACTCACAATATACATTGACTTTCCTGTATATTTCCTATGTCACAATGATTATGTTATTACATCACTTTATGAAGCAATTGTTCGATGTCGTTGTTTACACTGATTGGTGTATAAGGCCAAGTAAATTTAATTAGAAAATTTTCGTCCAAATTTTTGAAAAAAATGGGGTGGGTGGGAGGATTTAATTTTTTATTAGATATGAAACGCTCTTGTGACGTATTCTTCATATATGCAAGTGTAATAATAAGGTTCTATCATGTATATACATGTATAACGAATCAAACATACAAAGAAATGCAAAAACCAAAATTTGAAACAGGATGTTATTAATGAAACGAAATTATCGACAGTTACGGGTAACGAAAATGAACAAAATCCAGTTACCGGTAACGAAAATGAACAAAATCCAGAAATCGTAAATTTTTCAAAATAAAAAAAATTGGTGCGGAACGATTTCAGAGGGGCGGACGGGGATGAAAATCTATCAATTAATTTTAATTGGCCTAACTAAGAGAGTATTGTCTATTCTACATCTATAAAAATAGTCAACATTTGCACCTACATTAAACTTGTGCTTTTGTTAATTCCATTGGTCATGACTATTTTCTTATATAGATAATAAAGTATATCATGTTTCCATTGTGCCCATAAATTAAGTAAATCATGAAAATTTCTTTTGTCCTGAAAGATAAGGATATAAGTTGTAACGTTGAGAATTTAACAGTTTGTCTGGTTTGGGTCATTGTCAAATCTTATCAGCCAATCAATTCTTGTCATGCCAACACACCCTTTTACAGTGTACATGTATGTGACTAAATCTATACTTGTCTAAATTTAATGTTCAAAGGTAAAGTGGAATCTTAAAATGTTTGGTAAGCTTTAAGATATTCTGTTGTAGCAATGGGGATGTATAAATACCCTTCCACATCTGGTCTGTGTTTATATATGAAAATATATATACAAAAACAGACAACAGATAGAGCAGGTTGATTGACTTGGTACAGGCCATGAATGTGGTGGGATTTAACCACTTTAAATTTTACATGTGCTTGATTAGACCATACAGTGCAGGGCCTAATCTAGGATTTTGGAGAGGGAGAAGTGACAGTGTTCCGCCTGCCCTAAATAGAAGGGCGGCCCGCCCTTGGTGCCCTTACCCCCGCCCTTCTGCCCCCCAAAGCAAAAGAATGCACCCCTCTGTCTTTTCATAAAATAAAATTTCCAAATTTCGTGCCTGTCGGCGTTTCCGGTAAAATGTTACCTGATTGTGTAACACTAATTAACTGACAATGGGGTTAAGTTAAATACCTAATGCCTTTGGCAGTTTTATCACCTCTGTTAATGATTGCTTACTGCTAATTATTGGATTTAAGATAATTGAACAAATACTAGATATTTAATACAGAATGAAAATGTCCACATGTTATCCATTTGTAATGTTTATGTACAGCATGTACACCAGAAAAACTTTATTTCAGTAGACATAAAATAAAAAAAATATCTAAAGCAATTTAAAAGGCATACACAGTTTTGACTAAATTGGTAAATGGGGTAGAACATTTTTTGTTTCATAACCATGAGTATGAAATTTAAAGAAGAATCAAAGAAATTTGTACTTTGGACATAACAAGATTGCACAACTTCCTGTTTTACTTCTTGTATTAATAATCCTCCTTACATAGGAGCATTTAACAAATGCTTTTATTTTTAACAATAATGGAGAAAAAAGTAACTATTTATACCTTTTGCAATACATTATTGCATCAATATAATATGATCATCTCCTGTCTCACCTGTTATATTTATAAAACTCCTTACTTAGGAGCACTTTGGTGTGCACTTAAAAAACTTTTTTGTAACAATTAAAAGGATTATTAGTAACTTTCAATAACATATACTATAGCAAGTAGAACAAGTTATTTAAATGTAGAAAATTTAATTACATCACAAATTCAATTTTGCATTTATAGCTCCATCTTTCAGAATTACTTGTTTATTTCTATAGACTGGTTTAAGTTATAAAACATTGAATTTTTTGATAATTATTTTCCTTTAATAACCAAGTGTACAACTTTGTTTAGATTTACTTCAAAATGATATGCTTTGCATCATGGTATGATAATTTGATAAAAAAAAATCTTACTGGAACCAACATCAGGAACACATTTATTTCTTAATATGCTTAAAATACAACTAATGTTCTCCAGCTGAGCCTAGCAATATTCAAGGTAATTTATACACAGTCCAACAGTGCCCTTACAATCTGGGTTATTGCGGTAAAGTGCCCTTTCAAACAACTAGCACCCTTCTGCCCTGAGATTCAAGCTGGAAAACTGAGTGACTCCTCCTTCCATGAGAGAGAAGGGAGAAGTGGTCAGTTTCTTGGACAAGTGAGATTCCATTACTGTTTCGGTTGCATAGTGTTCTCATGATCACAGCTGGTCGAGTGTCATACGTTTGCAATCACATTATCCATCAGCTGTCTTTCTGCCTTTTTATTTTAATATTTATTCAATGAATATAATAAATCTACCGTTAATTCCCACCCTTAACCTACCGAATAGTACAATTGACCGACTCGTAATAAATAAAAATAGAACAAATCAGCTGAGTGATTACGCAACATCATCAGATGAAAATCATCATAAAATGATAACTTTAACAGATGGTCAGTTTTCCGCTTGAATAGTTTTGAATGTTATACCGAGGATGTTCAAAGTCGCAGTTGTATTTATTTAATTTGACTGTCGACAGTATTAGTCCTTGGTCGTTTTGAAAATCTTGATTTTCCTTGTCAGTCACCATTTTTTTTTACCTGGGAGACTTATAATTTACAAGTTGTCTCCCTTTTACCGATTTTGATCGCGATTTTTTTTTAGTTCACCATGAAGTAACAGGGGTTAAAAAATCCACTAGCCCGACGCCCGGGACTAGACTTTTACACTTCGGGCAATTAAAACTTGTAACCGAATATGCCCGATGGACTAGTAACAAACAATTCTTGGCATTTCCAAAATAGTAAGTGGAAAATCCCCTCATCACTATTCTATCTTAGCCAATCAGATTCAATTACATACGTCATCCGGGATTCCAAGAATTTGAACCGATTTTGTACATGTTTTAAAAATAGAACAACTAACTCTGGGTGGACCGGTATCATGTATTGATCGCAATTCACGTACTTTCAATATCAACTTCTCAGTACAGGGAGTATTGTACATTGCTTATGCCGAGATTTTCAATTAATGGTACTTGGGTGTATGATGTAATGATCGATATTGACCTGTCTTGTCGGACAGCTGTTAATTTGAGCTTGAAACCATGCACAAATTATTTCTAAACATTTTAGTACGGCCACCACAGGAACTTTGTCAGTTTTAAAACGAAAAACGGTAGATGAAGGGGGTAATGAGGCTGAAAATTTATCCAAAAAAATGCCAAATACGACCAGGAAAAGCGGAAAAAAACATTTATTGTGTCATGGACAGAAAGATTCCCCATGGGCAAGGTCGACTGTTACTGATGATAAACAAGAGATGATGTATTGTGAATATTGCCGTTATTTTCCCGATCTCGCTGATAAAAAGTCTGCTTTGTATGTGGGAACAACAAATATACGAATTGAACCACTGGTTTAACATGACAATATCAATGAACATGTTTTCTGTGCCCGAAAATATTTAACAACCCATAGTACAAGGGATATCCAAAAAGATGTCTAGAGATCCTTGTTATAATTAATAAAACAAAAATTTATTTGATTTATTTTATCAAATACCGTGTATAATGCTGCATTCAAAACAAGGGACACCCACTCTAAATTTGAAAGGTATACTCGGGCTAGCAGGTCAGTTTTGATGGGCTAGCAGCTCTTTCAACAGGGCTAGTAAAATCCTGCTACCAATAAGTCCTGGGCTAGTGAGCTGTAACAAATTTTTTTAACCCCATAGTAAGTTGGCCGGCGAGATTTAGCGATTGTCAAAATTCTTTGGCGACTTTAATCGTCATTTCGCCGGCAAGATTATGGCCTGACAGTGTTGACAAAGTAAAATACTCAGTAGAAACCTGCATTTATCATTTGACCTCCAGTATATAGTTGTCACATTGACTATCATACCACATCTCCCTACAGCAGTCTTCACCATGAACTTTTAAATCTACAGGCCCGCAGCTCAATTTTTTGAAAATTTTAGTCAGATTATGTTGGCCTGTAGAGATGATTTTTGCAGACCCGAGAGCAATTTTACAAGCCTGGGCTGCTGGGCCTGTGGTTCAGCGTGAAGACTGCTACAGGAGATTTTTTCATGTTTTCTTGGTGTCCTGTCCATTTTGTTGAATTTTGTTTCATTTCAGTATTTGTTAAATACTCTGTCATACATGTATTTTATGATAGGTACTGCAATTCATCTTTTATTTAGACAAATTTTAATAGTTGTCATTTTACTATATTTCAAAAACTCAGACTGGTTACAAATATGTTTGAACAATTTTGAAGGGATTTTGTTCAAATACTCTTGATGGTTAAATGGACAAAGACAGCAGTGACTTTGTACCACTGCACATTTTGAAATGTATATAATTAAAGTATAGGGAATCCAGCTTCCATTTCAGTTAAAATTGTACATTGCATGGGATGATGCTTAATCACTCAGCTGATTGTTGATATTTTCAGAAAGTACATTTGTAGGACCAGATTTACTGTTTTAATGGGTCAAGTGTTGAATCCAGTAGATATTTATGCAGCCTTCACGATTAACTTTTGAGTCCACAAGCCCGAAGCTCAATTTTTTGAAAATTTTAGTTGTATTCTGTTGGCTTGTAGAGAAGAATTTTACAAGCCTGGGCTGTAGGAATTGTGGTTAAGCGTGAAGACTGTTTATGAGTTTATTTATTAAGATTTTAAGAACATCTGACAGATAGTTTTAATTGCAACTTCATCTAATGATCAGCTGGTTGTTATTATCAACAACATATCCTTCAATTGGGGTACAATCAGGGTCCGACACTTACGGTTGTCCGATTGCCCAGGGCAAGTTAATGCCGTATTCGGACAAGTTAAAACATCATCTTGGTTGTCCGATCGGGCAAGTGAAAAAAAAACTGTTATATGATTAAAATTTCACAAAATCAATAGTGTCTGTTGTTTTGTCCATAGATTACGCAGTGATAACACCGCACGGTCGAGTAAAGTGGTCTTAACCCCCCTTCAATGTGTATATTTCGTCATTTGTTCGCACTGAATTCCCCCATTTTACCAAAAATAGATCACGTTTAAAAATCTTGGCCAATGAGGCGGCTGCAGCTTTGCTTCGTCATTATCGTTATCAATTGGGACACCACTCTGGCGTTCCGACGCACGTGTTATTCCCACCGATCAATGGGACGCAGAGGTCTATTTTCGTTGTTCTAACTTTAGAATTTGACATCATATGTGTATTTCCCTAAGATCATGAAGATGGAAACATAGGGGCTTGAAAGAGAAAATGAAATTAAACTTTAACAAATTTGTCAGTTGTTGTCAGTTTATTAAGAAGGGTTTTTTGAAATGGCATCTCTTGGATAAATTATTATGAAATAAGTATCTCTATGTAAATGATCCAATTCCCGTATATTCCTCAATCTTTTCCCTCCCTCCTCGGCTCATATATGCCTCATAGTATCTCAGTGGCCAAGTCTAGTTGCTTCCATCATGGCACAACAATCAACCCTGGCATGTAAAAGTTTGGGCATGTAGATTTCACTTTCGGACAAGTAAAAGTAAGAGGGCACTTGCTCAACTGGACAAGTTGGTATAAAAGTTAATGTCGAACCCTGACAATCCGGTTTTTCTTTCGTTAAAAGTCAAACAACAAAAATACTGGACGTCTAAGGAAAATTCAAAATGGAAAGTCCCTTATCAAATGGCAAAATCAAAAGTTCAAGCACATCAAATGAATGGAAAATAATAGTCATATTTCTGACTTGGTGTCATAACTTATTTAAATGTAAAAAGATCCCATAATTCCATATCAATTAGTACATGTAGTACCATAAAATTGAGAATGGAAATGGGGAATGTGTCAAAGAGACAACAACCCGACCATAGAACAGACAACAGCAGAAGGTCACCAACAGGTCTTCAATGCAGCGAGAAATTCCCGCACCCGGAGGCGTCCTTCAGCTGGCCCCTAAACAAATATATATACTAGTTCAGTGATAATGAACGCCATACTAAACTCCAAATTGTACACAAGAAACTAAAATTAAAAATAAAACAAGACTAACAAAGGCTAGAGGCTCCTGACTTGGGACAGGCGCAAAAACGCCATGTTTATTTGTCCATTAATTGGCCAATAATAAACTTTCAAAGTATCTTTTCCTTCTCAGATTTCAGTAATGTAGGCACTAGTGAAAGCAGTTTTAATATGCAGCTAAGACAGAAGTCTGGTACAATGACAAGATTGCGTACAAAGAAAGGGGGAGCTAAGAAGAAAAATGGTCGACAGAAAAGAACAGTAGTGCAAACAGAAGACCAGGTTTGTGTCAAGAATGACGGTTTTTAATGTTATTTTGTAGAAATACACAAAGCTTCATTATTGAACCTCCATGCTGAAATATATAAAATAACATGTTTTCTTTAAGTCCAAGAGCAATTTACAAGTTATTACAGCTTATTACAGAAATTCCAGACCTGTTTACCAGTATGATTTTAGTGTAGTTTCTACAATTTTTGGCACTCAAATTATGCTTTACACCCAAATAGGTCATTTCTACGCTTTCAAAGATGTTACAGTAAAAAAAAACCGGCAGTATGTTTTTTTTTAGTCCAAAGGAAGTTATCAGAACGCAAAACATAGTCTTTGCCTTTTATGTGCTTGAAAAGGGTTATAAAAGTATGTCTTACAAACGCTCTGGTGATCGTGACACATGGTGCTATGCAGAAATGAAAGTATCTTGGATGGAACAATGAAGAGGGGAAATGAAAAAAGACAAGCAGAAAAAGCTTTGTCAGCGTTAAAGACAGGACTATGCTGAGATTTGGAAGTGTCTCGGTTCATCCAAAAAGGGAAACCAATACGTATGTTGCGGGTTATGTCAAAAGGACTTTTCATGTGTGCTAAATCTAGTCATTGTTGTTTTACTGCATTATTATTAAAAGTTTGAATAAATAATTGGAACTGTTCTAAAGTTTTCAATTAGTTACATATATTGTCAGAGAAAGTAAATTTTTGGACCAAGGACAGACCGTGGTTGTATCTTTTAATTTACATGAGAATTGATTAATAAAATTTATGAAGAAAACATATATTGTGTTCAATATTACTAATTCTATTGAATTTGTATATTTGGTATCTTCAAAACATGACCATCAAAGCTCTCAGAATGCAGGATTTTGCATATAATTTTTCAAAAAAAATCTAGCAAGTTCGCGCTGTGTTTGCGTCGCTCATCGGTGATAGTAATTTGTGGGGACTTGTAAAATCTTATAAACCACAAGTCCCCTGGCAATGTAGATTTAAAAGTTTATTGTGAAGACACCTAAATATTGAAAACTAAACTTTCTAAATGTATAAACTACATTTGTACACTACTAGCTTAAATGGGGTAAACAGGTATGAAAATTTGAAAATAAAAAGACAGCACACAATAGGTCTTCTACAGACCGTAAAGGATCCTTCTTGCACATGTAGAAGCAAGAAATAGATAGTAAATACATTAGCTCTTTTATGAAACTTTTCACAATTTCATTTCTAATAAATCTAGAATTTTTTACTTGACATCTACATTTATGACAGTATTTACATATATTTATTTTGCAGGATGTGCCAGAAGAAAAGAAATACAAGATGTCATATGAGGGTAGAGTGGAAGGAGGAGAGCCTGATATGATCTCCTCTACACCTTGTTTGAGGGTCAAAGGTGAGGCAAATGTCCATTTCATACCTACACGTTAGTTCCAGGTTAATTTTGCTTATTTCAACTGCTGACTTGACGTAGCCACTCAAACTTAACATTGTATCTTATAAAGACATTTCTTATTATCCTAATAATTATATAATCTGTTCTATAATATTATTCTTGCCAGATTTTTATAAAACTCACATCATAGATTTATATCAGCAATGTCTCTGACAATATGGAAAATAAGTGCTGCTAAAATATTTTTAACCAGGTATGCCCCTTGGAAATAATATTTATATCAGAAATTGCATTTAATTTGCTATCAAGCCTTCATTTCTCTTAAGATATATTTAAATAAAGTTTTTAAGAACAAAAAAAACTGGGTTTTTTTTTATACGACCGCAAAAAAAATTTGCGGTCGTATATTGGTATGACGTTGGCATCGTCGTCATTGTCCGAAGACACATTGGTTTTCGCAATCTAACTTTAGTTTAAGTGAATGGATCTCTATGAAATTGTACCATAAGGTTCAATACCACAAAAGGAAGGTGGGGATTGATTTTGGGGTTTATGGTACCAACAGTTAAGGAATTAGGGGCCAAAAATAAGCATTTTTATACGACCGCAAAAATTGAAAATTTTTTGGTCGTATATTGGTATGACGTTGGCGTCGTCGGCGTCGTCTGGCGTCGTCCGAAGACACATTGGTTTTCGCACTCTAACTTTAGTTTAAGTGAATGGATCTCCATGAAATTTTACCATAAGGTTCAATACCATGAAAGGAAGGTTGGGATTGATTTTGGGGGTTATGGTACCAACAGTTAAGGAATTAGGGGCCAAAAAGGGGCCAACAATAAGCATTTTTGTAACTTCCAGACAATAACTTGTGTGCAAGTGTATGGATCTCTCTGACATTGTACCACAAGGTTCCATATCACAAAGGGAAGGCTGTAATTGATTTTGGGGGTAATTGCCTCAAAATGTTAGGAATTAGGGGCCAAAAAAGGGGCAAAAAACAAGCATTTTTCTAGTTTCATGACAATAACTTGTGTGTAAGTGTTTGGATATTTCTGAAATTGTACTACAAGGTTCCATATCATAAAGGGAAAGCTGGAATTGAGTTTGGGGGTAATTGCCCGAAACGTTTAGGAATTGGGGGCCAAAAAGGGGCCAAAAATAAGCATTTTTCTAGTTTCCAGACAATAACTTATGTTCAAGTGTATGGATCTCTCTGAAATTGTACTGCAAGGTACCATACCACAAAGGGAAGGCTGAGATTGAGTTTGGGGGTGATGAATCATAAGGGGGTTCAAAAAATTTTGGGGGGGGATTTTTTTTTTTCTTTTTTTTTTCTTTTTTTCCTTTTTTTTTTCTTTTAAAATTTTCCATTTTAAGTTGGTTATTTCTGATTTATATTTAAAAGCAAATAATAATGATATGGTAGGAGATACACACCAAACAGGATGTGTAAATTATTATATAATAAGTATTGTGCAATAGCAAGAAATTTTCAATTGCACAGTATTGCACAATAGCAAGAAATCTTCAATTGCACAGTATTGCGCAATAGCAAGAAATCTTCAATTGCACAGTATTGCGCAATAGCAAGAAATATCCAATAGCACAATATTGCGCAATAGCAAGAAATTGTCAATTGTACAGTATTGCGCAATAGCAAGAAATAATCAATTGCACAGTATTGTGCAAAAGAAGATACTTCGTATAAATTGCTTATTTCTTGATCAATTTCAATGGGGTTTTATTCTTGAATTCTTGGGGTTCTTTAATATGCTGAATCTAACCGTGTATTAAGTTTTTGGATTTTGGGCCCCGTTTTTAAATTGGTCCACATTGAGGTCCAAAGGGTCCAAAATTTTACTTTGTTTGATTTCATCAAAAATTGAACTATTGGGGTTCTTTGATATGCCGAATCTAACCGTGTATTTAGATTCTTAATTTTTGGTTCTGTTTTCAAATTGGTCTACATAAAGGTCCAAAGGGTCCAAAATTAAACTTAGTTTGATTTCAACAAAAATTGAATATATGGGGTTCTTTGATATGCTGAATCTAACCATGTATTTAGATTTTTGATTATGGGCCCAGTTTTCGAGTTGGTCCAAATCGGGGTCCAAAATTAAACTTTGTTTGATTTCAACAAAAATTGAATATATGGGGTTCTTTGATATGCTGAATCTAACCATGTATTTAGATTTTTTATTATGAGCCCAGTTTTCAAGTTGGTCCAAATCGGGGTCCAAAATTAAACTTTGTTTGATTTCAACAAAAATTGAATATATGGGGTTCTTTGATATGCTGAATCTAACCATGTATTTAGATTTTTGATTGTTGGGCCCCGTTATCAACTTTGTCCACATTGAGATCAAAAGGGTCCAAAATGAAACTTTGTTTGATTTCATCAAAAATTGAATATATGGGGTTCTTTGATATGCTGAATCTAACCATGTATTTAGATTTTTGATTATGGGCCCAGTTTTCAAGTTGGTCCAAATCGGGGTCCAAAATTAAACTTTGTTTGATTTCAACAAAAATTGAATATATGGGGTTCTTTGATATGCTGAATCTAACCATGCATTTAGATTTTTGATTATGGGCCCAGTTTTCAAGTTGGTCCAAATCGGGGTCCAAAATTAAACTTTGTTTGATTTCAACAAAAATTGATATATATGGGGTTCTGTAATATGCTGAATCTAACCGTGTATTAAGTTTTTGGATTTTGGGCCCCGTTTTTAAATTGGTCCACATTGAAGTCCAAAGGGTCCAAAATTTAACTTTGTTTGATTTCATCAAAAATTGAATTATTGGGGTTCTTTGATATGCCGAATCTAACCGTGTATTTAGATTCTTAATTTTTGGTTCCGTTTTCAAATTGGTCTACATAAAGGTCCAAAGGGTCCAAAATTAAACTTAGTTTGATTTTAACAAAAATTGAATTTTTAGGGTTCTTTGATATGCTGAATCTAAACATGTATTTAGATTTTTGATTATGGGCCCAGTTTTCAAGTTGGTCGAAATCGGGGTCCAAAATAAAACTTTGTTTGATTTCAACAAAAATTGAATATATGGGGTTCTTTGATATGCTGAATCTAACCATGTATTTAGATTTTTGATTTTTGGGCCCTGTTATCATTTTTGTCCACATTGAGATCAAAAGGGTCCAAAATTAAACTTTGTTTGATTTCATCAAAAATTGAATTCTTAGGGTTCTTTGATATGCTGAATCTAACCATGTATTTAGATTTTGGATATTGGACCATAATAGGTGAATGTCCAATTTAAAATTTTTAAGTTCTTAGACCACATTCATTCTGTGTCAGAAACCTATGCTGTGTCAAATATTTAATCACAATCCAAATTCAGAGCTGTATCAAGCTTGAATGTTGTGTCCATACTTGCCCCAACTGTTCAGGGTTCGACCTCTGCGGTCGTATCAGGCTGCGCCCTGCGGAGCATTTTATTGTAACTTACAGACATAACTTGTGTGTTAGTTTATGGATCTCTCTGACATTGTACCACAAGGTTCCATATTACAAAGGGAATGCTGGGATTGATTTTGGGGGTAATTGCCTCAAAATTTTAGGAATTAGGGGCCAAAAAAACCAAAAAATAAGCATTTTTCTAGTTTCATGACAATAACTTGTGTGTAAGTGTATGGATCTCTCTGACATTGTACCACAAGGTTCCATGTCACAAAGGGAATGCTGGGATTGATTTTGGGGGTAATTGCCTCCAAATTTTAGGGATTAGGGGCCAAAAAGAGGCAAAAAACAAGCATTTTTCTAGTTTCATGACAATAACTTGTGTGTAAGTGTATGGATCTTTATGAAATTGCACTACAAGGTTCAATACCACAAAAGGAAGGTGGGGATTGATTTTGGGGGTTATGGTACCAACAGTTAAGGAATTAGGGGCCAAAAACAAGCATTTTTGCAACTTACAGACATAACTTGTGTGTTAGTTTATGGATCTCTCTGACATTGTACCACAAGGTTCCATATTACAAAGGGAATGCTGGGATTGATTTTGGGGGTAATTGCCTCCAAATTTTAGGAATTAGGGGCCAAAAAAACAAAAAAATAAGCATTTTTCTAGTTTCATGACAATAACTTGTGTGTAAGTGTATGGATCTCTCTGACATTGTACCACAAGGTTCCATGTCACAAAGGGAATGCTGGGATTGATTTTGGGGGTAATTGCCTCCAAATTTTAGGGATTAGGGGCCAAAAAGAGGCAAAAAACAAGCATTTTTCTAGTTTCATGACAATAACTTGTGTGTAAGTGTATGGATCTTTATGAAATTGCACTACAAGGTTCAATACCACAAAAGGAAGGTGGGGATTGATTTTGGGGGTTATGGTACCAACAGTTAAGGAATTAAGGGCCAAAACAAGCATTTTTGTAACTTACAGACATAACTTGTGTGTTAGTGTATGGATCTCTCTGACATTGTACCACAAGGTTCCATATTACAAAGGGAATGCTGGGATTGATTTTGGGGGTAATTGCCTCCAAATTTTAGGAATTAGGGGCCAAAAAAACCAAAAAATAAGCATTTTTCTAGTTTCATGACAATAACTTGTGTGTAAGTGTATGGATCTCTCTGACATTGTACCACAAGGTTCCATGTCACAAAGGGAATGCTGGGATTGATTTTGGGGGTAATTGCCTCCAAATTTTAGGGATTAGGGGCCAAAAAGAGGCAAAAAACAAGCATTTTTCTAGTTTCATGACAATAACTTGTGTGTAAGTGTATGGATCTTTATGAAATTGCACTACAAGGTTCAATACCACAAAAGGAAGGTGGGGATTGATTTTGGGGGTTATGGTACCAACAGTTAAGGAATTAGGGGCCAAAACAAGCATTTTTGTAACTTACAGACATAACTTGTGTGTTAGTGTATGGATCTCTCTGACATTGTACCACAAGGTTCCATATTACAAAGGGAATGCTGGGATTGATTTTGGGGGTAATTGCCTCCAAATTTTAGGAATTAGGGGCCAAAAATAAGCATTTTTCTAGTTTCCAGACAATAACTTGTGTTCAAGTGTATGGATCTCTCTGAAATTGTACTGCAGGGCACCATACCACAAAGGGAAGGCTTTGATTGATTTTGGGGGTAATTGCCTTAAAAGTTTAGGAATTAGGGGCAAAAAAATAAGCATTTTTCTAGTTTCAGGACAATAACTTGTGTGTAAGTGTATTGATCTTTATGAAATTGTACTACAAGGTTCCATATCACAAAGGGAAAACTGGGTTTGAGTTTGGGGGTAATTGCCCTAATGTTTTAGGAATTTTGGGTCAAAAAGGGGCCAAAAAACAAGCATTTTTCTAGTTTCCAGACAATAACTTGTGTTCAAGTGTATGGATCTCTCTGAAATTGTACTGCAAGGTACCATACCACAAAGGGAAGGTTGGGATTGAGTTTGGGGGTGATAAATCATAAGGGGGTTCAAAAAATTTGGGGGGGGGATTTTTTTTTCCTTTTTTTTCTTTAAAATTTTCCATTTTTAATTGGTTATTTCTGATTTATATATAAAAGCAAAAAATAATGATATGGTTTGAATAGGTTAATTAAAAAATTTCAAGTTCTTAGACCACATTCATTCTGTGTCAGAAACCTATGCTGTGTCAAATATTTAATTACAATCCAAATTCAGTGCTGTATCAAGCTTGAATGTTGTGTCCATACTTGCCCAAACTGTTCAGGGTTCGACCTCTGTGGTCGTATCAAGCTGCGCCCCAGCGGAGCATTTTATTTTAGTTTTTGCCCTTGCTCTTGCACCTTGGACAGATAAAATATGTGTGATGCGGGGGACATTGGAACTCTGTTCTTTCATTCTGATTGTTTTAGAAAGATAGCCTGAAGTAGGTAATCAATTTATACTTTCTAAATACATGGCAGAGTAAAATCAAAAAGTGCCTTCTGCCCTCCCCCATGTCAGGGCTCGACAATAACGCTTGTCCGATTGTCCGGTACCAGAGGAAACAAAGGTCGGACAAGTAAAAGCTATATCAAGCTTGTCCGATGGGACAAGTAAAATTATTCTGCAGAAAATAAATTTAATCCAACTTTGATGAACAAAGTAATTATAAACAAAAAACAAGAAAAGAACATAAAAACAAGTATTAATTTGACATGTTTACTTGCAATTGATAATTTAAAACTGGTTCTTTGTCAGGTACTTTTTAATAGGTTCTCGGAAACCAGAGACTGATCCAATATGCTGCGCTTTGTAGATAAGGTAACTTTACAAGACAGTTCATCTCCAGCTCGGAAGCGATTCGGCTCCAAGTTTAATAGACAGTTTGGCACCGTAGGAGACATATTCAATAAACATAATTAATAGACAGTTTGGTAACGCAGGAGACATTTCAGGACCAAGACAAATCAGTACCTCGTTTTCCTACCTTATTCTGTTGCTTTATAATAAATACCATACCGGTAATTTTTTTAGCAAAAATATTTTTAAAATAAAAATGACCATAAAATTCACAAAATCATATTTGATCATATGTCATGTATGTAGAAAAAAACAATACTTGCAATACGGTGACCTATAGTTGTTAATTTCTGTGTCATTTGATCTCTTGCAGAGAGTTGTCTCATTGGCAATCATACCTCATCTCGTTTTTTTTATTGATTGTATTTGAATAAACTTTTTTCAAATTAAAAAACCAGGATACAAATCCAATGAGTGTACATTGGCAATCCTATCAGACGGTGCCTCATGTGCAGAGTCTGATGAGACTTTGGCATTGATGAAAACTAGAACCTAAGTCCTGTGACATGACTAGATTCAGTTGTTCTCGACTCATATTTTTGTAAAGTATTGCAAAAGATATGTTAAAATCAAATTCTGTTCTATTGTTTTAATTCAATCAACTTAAAATGCAAAAAAGGTTATTGTTAAGATTTTTTTTGGACAAGTTACAATTTCATTTGGACAAGTAAGTTTTGGTATGTACTTGTCCTACTGGACAGGTTGAAAAAAAAGTTATTGTAGAGGCCTGCATGTTTTTTTCTGAAATCACCCTTAGAAATAAGAATATTACCACAGATTAATTCATCATGTGTGTTGCAGGAAAGAAGAAACCAGAAGTGCTTAACCCAGTACAAGAAAACCAGAACCCACCTTGCCCAGGGAGTCCACCAAGGACCAGTGGAACATTGTTTTCACCAGTTTATTCATATGTTGGTAAGTATTTGGTCTGAAAAAACTAATCAAAGATTCCAGGCTTTTGATTTTGTACCTCATACACACGTTTCATTTAACATGTCTTATCAAGACTCATCAATAGCGCTCAAATCCAAACAGTTGATTAGCCAGATCAATTACAAAGTTGAAGAGCATAAAAAACTGAAAAATCAGCAGGGTTTGAAATTAGCCGTCATCCACTCACCATTAGCAAGTGTTTTTTGATGTTGTCTCATAGATATGCAATCTTCTTAGCTCACACGGCGAGTGTACTTTGAAAAATATTATTATTATGAATTGTTTATATCTATTGACGTGAGCTCCCTTTCGTTTTTTATCAATTTTAGATTTTAAGTTTCTGAGTTATGGGGTTTTATTCATTAAAAAAGGGGGATATTCCAGTTTTCGGACTATCTTTAAAGTGCTTTGAGGAGTTTTCATGAAACTTTGGTGACTGATTTATATCTATTAAGATAACCTCCCTTCAGTTTTTCATAAATTTGTGATATGACATTGAGAAGTTATTGAACTTTATTCTTTTAAAAGAAGTGACATTCGCTCATGGCGCAGCTGTTTATTCAATTCTGGGCTTTTCCAAAAGGAAGGAACAAAGTGTCCCTCTGTTTGATAATATGTAAGATTGTTATCTTTCCTCTCGAGGAAATAAAAATATAGCTTTAAATATGCTATCTTTGCTTAAATGAGAAAGGAAATGTGAGGTTTGTGTCCAAAAAAATGTGTTACATCAACTTACGGTAAGCCTGGAAATTTTAGTTAAGAACATGGATTTTTCTAGCATTCCACAGGATCCGGTATTTGGATTCATTCCCAATGGCAAACCCCTACATTTTTCCAAATTTCGGTATGAAAAATTCACAAACGATCTCATTTTCAGTAGAAATTTCACTAAAAATTGTTGAATTTACAATCACACCTATTTTATTCTTGACAGTGATGTTCTTTTTGTTCAACCGCTAGTTTTATGCAGAAAATCGCCAACAAGTAACGTTTAAAACCAATTAAAAACATATCTGACTGTTTTCAAAACAACTTTGACAAATGGTCGCTTAAACCAGAAATGTAGACAAATGCAATACCAGATCAGATTTCGGAAGCAGATACCGCTCATCTGGGTTTGCCAGTCAAATACAAATTAATTTTTTATGCCCCCGCCGTAGCGGTGGGGACATTGAGATTTACCCTTGTCTGTCTGTACGTAATATACATACGTACTTACGAATGTATGTCCCAAAATTGGTTTCCGTTCTCTTACTTGAGTTTGCCTCAACCAAATGTTATGAAACTTATACACAATGCTTATTACCACAAAACACAGATCAAGTTTGAATTTTGGTGGCGTCACTTTAATTTTTTTTTAAATCGCCAAAAGGAGACAAAATACAACCAAAATATACTCTTGAATTGTAAACCAAAAGATATACGAAGAAGAAAGAAGGAACAGGAAATATTTTATACAGAAATTAAAGATATTTTTAGTCCACAAATTTTCATGTCAAAATCCAATAAAATGTTTCATTACTTTTCTTTATCACTAAAAATTTTTGATATTGGATGTTTTTATGTAACACATTACTACAGAACTAGGAGGTTATTTCTGCTCAATTTATTTCAAGTGAATTTAAAAAAGTGTAAGCCCGCTTGGCCAATTAAAAATCTTATTTCTATCTCTGAACTTATTATTTTTATCTGTAATGGACTTTGAAGGTGAAAAAGGCTGTAAATTCTTTTCCCATGTGTGCTTTAAGAAGTACAGTATTCTGATGCTAAAATGAACTTGATTGCCTTGTTGTAAAGTTTAAAAACAAAAAAGGGACAGAAAAATAAAATTATAAATGGCAACCATGTAGTTTCTTGCTTTATTTTCACAAAAAAGATAATTTCTAATGAACTTGACACACTAAAACTTACATCTGGTATATTTGTTGTTTTTCACAATTTCATTGAAATTCCCAAAACTGTCCAGAGTCCTTTTTCCCAAATTACCCAGAAAAACCCCTGAAGATGGAAGAGTCAGGAATCAATCATTTTTTTTGTTGGCCTAACATGTAACTTGTTACTTTGCAGATGGAGAAGAAGACACAGATCATCACAAACATCTACATGTACATAAATCATTAGATTTCAGCCAGTGTACTGATATGCCATCATCATTTAGCAATGAGGAAGAGGATTCAGACTCAGCTTCATCTAGTTTGTATAATACTACACTCCCCCTCCCCACACAGCATCACATACATGTACATAAATCATTAAGACTTCAACTTGTTTATTGATATACCATCATTTTATGTAGCAATTAGGAAGGAGATTCAGACTCCATCAAGTTTGTCATGGATTCTCTAGCATTCCACAGGGACTGGTATTCAGCATCACTTTAATACATGTGACTTATGTCAGTGTTGAGATATAATCATCTGCTATAGACATAATCTAGATCTGTTATGTGTTTATTGTTTGATGCTGATGACACAGAATTGATACAATTTCGCTGCATCTCGGAAGCTTTTTCAAGTATATTTAGATATGGTTATAATATCAAATAATTCAAGATCATAGCCCACCCAACAACATTTAAAAGAAAATAAATCTTAAGGATGTACTTAGGTGAGTTTAGGTGAAAATTAATAAATCAAGAAATTAAAATTGATACTATAAACTGGTAGAGCATCCGTTAAGGACAAAAATAAGCTAAAAATATTGATAGGTCATGGACCTCCTTTTCGAGATATTTGAGATTTAAAATATTGCTTTAAAAGGCTGACTCAGACTTTTACCTTATATTTGCATTGGTATGATTTGAGTCCCAAAACAAAACAAAGAAAATCAAGAATCTTCTAAAATTTTGGTAAATCACCTTTCATGAGCTTTTAAGTCTTATATGAAAAAATAAATGGATGTTATGGGGCAAAATATTTTACATTGTATTGTATGGAAAAACACCAAGGAGTCCGAACATTTGTCACGAATTCCAAAACCTCACCTAAGTACATCCTTAATTGTTAAGTAAGTGAGAATGTGGTAATTTCAAATCATGTGTGATTGTTTGCAGTAATTTTATGGAAAACCCCCATTTTCCATTAACAAGTAAAAGTTGGAAATGCTTGTAAACGATTCCTCATCACTTAGTGTTAAAATAAGCCATAATCTCAACAACAAAAAAACAATTTGAAAAGTTGTGTTAAGTAACTAAAGGATAGGAAAAATGTTAGATTATTAAAGAAATTAGAGTACATCATAACATGTCTATGGGAAGACAATAATTCAATAGCAGTATATTACTGAGTATTTTGATAAGATAAGGCCAAAAAAAAATATATGTCTGTTTAAGGTTACATACTTTTTAAAAATAGGGTAGGTAGGTCAGTAGTTCCATTTTATTTCATTTTTATATTTTTTTTTTGTAACATGATTTTGAGTCATGCCATTTCGTCTTGTCATGGTTCGAGTTACTCGAATTTTTAATGATTGGATTAAATCCCTTGGTAATTCACTAATTGGTTGCAAAAAAGGCAGCAAAGTGTTTATTTCATCACACAAGTAGCGAATTTCCTTAAAACAGCTGTCATATATTCACGATTGTGAACATTGGGATGTATCAGGCAATTGATTTATATTTTTTGCAACACTAACATCGCTTTTGACACGTGTTCAGTTTATTTTTCACTTTACGACAGAAATAAAATGACTTAGGGTCGTCGCTCATAAGTAGGGGTCAGGTAACCGTAAACAGACATATTTTTTTTTTGGCCTATAGGATTTTCTTCTTAAAGAAACACATGTTTAATAGTAACTGAAAAAAATATTAATTTAGGTCTTCATTTTTAATTTTGTTTGTTAAAAGCAATATTCAATATTTTTGCAGCTAAAGAAAACCAGGAGCCGTCATTTGAAAGAGAAGAAGAGGAGGAGGAAGAGGAATGTCTGGAGGACAATAACAACCATATGTACAACAAAGGTGATGTGCCTTATGAGTACCATCACATGGAAGAAGAGGAAGAGGTGTCTGATGAATCCTATGAAGAGGGAGAATGGGATAATCAGCCCTTTGATCCGTAAGTATGAGGAACAAGTATTTGTGAGGGAGGGGAGGTGTAGTGATAACACAACCCTACATTGCATCACTGCAATATACGAAGGAAGAAGAAAAAAATGGCTGATTCTTCAATACATTGAGGAAAAAAGTTGTGTAATTTGAAATAAAACAGTAAATGCAGAAATGATTGCAATGTTTTTATACGACCGCAAAAAAAAATCCTAGTTGTCAAGGATTCACAATAATAAATGCAGCATTTGTGTGCAGAGGGGTGTGGAATTATTTGTTGTGACGACTTATCCCCTGGCAAGTGAAATTCTAAATATTACTTGTCTGGAAGAAAAGTTACTTGGCCTGATTTTTTAATGAATTTTGGAATGAAGAAGATGTATTATATTGTAAATGTGTATGTTTCTAAAACAGTTTTGAAACACAATTAAAATGGTATTCCTGGTCTTTGTTTGTATGTTAGAATGATAAAAATATAAGTAGAGTATACACCAATGATATAGAAACCAACCAAAAAAACAACAACTTGAAACTAAACAATCTTGAGGCTAATTTTGCAATGTTTGTTGATGCTAGCTTGTACATGAACCTGGGAGATTATATCATGACATATTTTCTTCACTGTGAGCCTATGTGAAGTTTGAAAGTTAATTAAAGAGATGAAAACCAAATAATTGATGAATTATTGAATTGTTGTTTGTCTTCTGGCCATTAAGTCTTCATTCTGAAGAAATCAGAGCTTGTAATTGATAATGACGATCTGGATAAAAAGGGGGGGATCGCAAAATATTAATGAAACCCTGGTCTGCATACTTATTTTTTGTTGTTTGATAATCGATCTATTTCTTGATCATTGATATTGTTTTACTTAAAACATGTTGCTTTTGTCTTATTTGATATTTTTTCTACTTTGATGAATAAATTTAGAGGACTTTTCAATATGACCGATATGTAAATTAAAATTGTCAAGCAACATTCTTTTTACTTGTCCACAGCAAAACAAAGACACGAAAACTTGCTTGTCTGGTTGGTCAAATTAAGAGTCGGGCATAGCATTTCCACAGACCTGATGTAGGCATTAATTTTTATGCCCCACCTACGTCCGTTCGTCCGTCTGTCAAGCTTCAGGTTAAAGTTTTTGGTCAAGGTAGTTTTGATGAAGTTGAATTCCAATGAACTTGAAACTTCCACTGAACATAGAAAATGATAGTGTGAGTGGGGCATCTGTGTACTATGGACACATTCTTTTTGGTACATTTTAAAGGTTTTCAGTATGGTTTTTTGTCGAGCCTGCGACTTTTGTCGCAGAAAGCTCGACATAGGGATAGCGATCCGGCGGCGGCGGCGGCGGCGGCGTTAGCTAACTTCTTAAAAGCTTTATATTTTAGAAGGTGGAAGGTCTGGATGCTTCATACTTTGTATATGGATGCCTCATGTTACGAAGTTTCCGTCAGTCACATGTCCAATGTCCTTGACCTCATTTTCATGGTTCAGTGACTACTTGAAAAAAAAGTTCAGATTTTTTGTAATGTTAGATTCTCTCTTATTATAAGTAATAAGATAACTATATTTGGTATGTGCGTACCTTGCAAGGTCCTCATGCCCGTCAGACAGTTTTCACTTGACCTCGACCTCATTTCATGGATCAGTGAACAAGGTTAAGTTTTGGTGGTCAAGTCCATATCTCAGATACTATAAGCAATAGGTCTAGTATATTCGGTGTATGGAAGGACTGTAAGGTGTACATGTCCAACTGGCAGGTGTCATCTGACCTTGACCTCATTTTCATGGTTCAGTGGTTATAGTTAAGTTTTTGTGTTTTGGTCTGTTTTTCTTATACTGTATGCCATAGGTCTACTATATTTGGTGTATGGAATGATTGTAAGGTGTACATGTCTAGCGGGCAGGTGTCATTTGACCTTGACCTCATTTTCATGGTTCAGTGGTCAAAGTTAAGTTTTTGAGTTTTGGTCTTTTTTTCTAATACTATGTGCAATAGTTCAACTATATTTGGTATGTGCGTACCTTGCAAGGTCCTCATGCCCGTCAGACAGTTTTCACTTGACCTCGACCTCATTTCATGGATCAATGAACAAGGTTAAGTTTTGGTGGTCAAGTCCATATCTCAGATACTATAAGCAATAGGTCTAGTATATTCGGTGTATGGAAGGACTGTAAGGTGTACATGTCCAACTGGCAGGTGTCATCTGACCTTGGCCTCATTTTCATGGTTCAGTGGTTATAGTTAAGTTTTTGTGTTTTTGTCTGTTTTTCTTATACTGTATGCCATAGGTCTACTATATTTGGTGTATGGAATGATTGTAAGGTGTACATGTCTAGTGGGCAGGTGTCATCTGACCTTGACCTCATTTTCATGGTTCAGTGGTCAAAGTTAAGTTTTTTGAGTTTTGGTCTTTTTTCTAATACTATATGCAATAGTTCAACTATATTTGGTGTATGGAAATATTTTATGATCTATTTGGCAGTCACACAGGTTTTATTTAACCTTGACCTCATTTTCAAGGTTCATTGCTCAGTGTTAAGTTTTTGTGTTTTGGTCTGTTTTTCTCAAACTATAAGCAATAGGTCAACTATATTTGTTGTATGGAAGAATTGTTAGCTGTACATGCCTGCCTAGCATGGTTCATCTGACCTTGACCTCATTTTCATGGTTCATTGGTCAATGTTAAGGTTACTTGGTTAATGTTAAGTTTATGTGACAGTTGTAATAAAGCTTTATATTTAGGACTATCAACATAATATCAATGATTAGTAAAGAAGGCGAGACATTTCAGCGTGTGCACTCTTGTTTTTTATTTATTTAGTTTTATGCCTTTGTTTAAGAGATGAGTTGACTTTGTTGTGTTCTGTACAGAAAGCTTTGTTTATTTGTGTTTTTATAGCTATGTTTATGTATCTTTTACTATTTTTGTTTGTATATATTGCCATGTTTATTATTATTTATAGATATGTTGTTTTTTTTTAGCTATGTATTCATAAAGAACCTGCCACCATTAACAGAAGAATTGAGGGCCAGGGTGCCTGCTTTACCTTTGAAAACCAGAAGTTCACCTGAATTTTCATTAGTGCTCGATTTGGTATGATGTTTAATCTCTATACACAAAAATAAATTCAAATTTTACATCCTGCTTCATTTAAATCACAGCTCAATTTGGCATTTATGTTTGGGCTGTTCCAAAATTGATCTTCGTGGAGGGAATGTGAGGCTCTCAAGTAAATTAATTGTTGGTGGTTGCATTTTCCTTAGAATTTTGTTTAAAAAAAGGGCCTCCCATGAGTTTAATTCTGAAACAGCCCTCCAGATTGTTTGTGTTTTGAAAACATTGGAATTGAAAAGTGTGTTCCTTGCTTCTTTACATCTTTTTATCATATAAAAACATTTGATATTATGTGTAAAATGTGCAAGTCAAATTGAGAGGCCAAAAAAAAATGGATTGTTGCCTGTTTGATTCATTTAATTCAGTTCAGAATTTTTTACTTAAGAGGTTGACCCATATGTCAAAGATTAAATATTTTCTCTTTTCTTTACAAATATGGGAAAAAGTAGAAATTGATTGATTGTTTGATAGAGGGGCAGGGCATTGGCTACGATTTTGACAAAAATTTAAAATACGATTCTCTTTGGTTCAAGTATTAATAAAAGCAAAATTTAAAACTAATAGTTCGTTTTAAGCAGTCAATTTGGCCCAAATTTGTCAAAATAAGATCAGAAACATTACTGATGTAAATTATTCACTTGCAAGTCAATAATTTAACCTCATTGAATCTGTATTCATGTGACCTTCATTTAAACCCATTATACAGAGAAGGGTTACACGTGTACTTGGCATGTACAACTATTAAAAGGAAAAGAATGTCAACATTGAATATGAAACAAGGGTTAACCATTTGGCTGACTGATTTGATCGACAAAAAAATCATTCATTCTTATACAGGAAAAATGTAGGAAATTGCATTGCATTTGCTCTCAAGCCGTCATTTCTCTTAAAATATTTATAAAAAGTTCTAAAGAACCAAAAATCAGTTTTTTTATGCCCCACCTACGATAGTAGAGGGGCATAATTTTTGGTCTGTACATCCGTTCGTTCGTCTGTCTGTCCTGCTTCAGGTTAAAGTTTTTGGTCAAGGTAGTTTTTGATGAAGTTGAAGTCCAATCAACTTGAAACTTAGTACACATGTTCCCTGTGATATGATCTTTCTAATTTTAATGCCAAATTAGAGTTTTAATCCCAGATTCACGGTCCACTGAACATAGAAAATGATAGCACGAGTGGGGCATCCGTGTACTATGGACACATTCTTGTTAGGTTTTGCCCTTGGACAGATAAAAATGTGAATTCCATTTGAATGAAGAATATGACAACTTGTTGCATTTTTAAAATAACTGAAAAACTTACATTATTATTTTTAGGATGAAACCTTAGTCCATTGTAGTTTAACAGAATTAGACGATGCTGCATTTAGTTTCCCTGTTCTATTTCAAGAAGTCACTTACCAGGTGAGATTATAAAGTTGGACAAGCTCTAGTGAATGGTACTTTCTTTCAATAATCCATTCATGTACACTTAAGTTTAAAGTCTTTCACAAAAAAAGTATAAAAACACATGTTTATATGATAGATCAGTGGTTTGTACTTGTAGTTTCTGTTAAAAAAAATAGTCCAGTAGCGTAGTACACAGAAATTTTTGCCATTCCTGACCTGTGCTTAAGTGACAATAGCAAAAATGACGAGTTGTAACTTAATGTCATGAATGTTGTAAGAATATAAGAAGCCAAAATGACTTGAATTGTAACTTAATGTTGTAAGAATATAAGAAGCCAAAATGACATGAATTGTAAACGTAGGTTGTAATCTGAAATACATTTTGTGCAATTTTTGACATAAATTGGCAGATTTTTATTAAGGTCAATTACTTGTGAATTACTCTGAAGTAACTCTTTAACAAGACTGGAGTTTTTTCAGGAGCTTCAAGACTGTCTAAGTTTTACTTTTATTGTATTTTTAGCTAACCTGGCCGAAAAGCTAAATATAAGCTTTTCTCATCACTTGGCATCAGGCATCTCGTCGTCATCCGTTAAATTAAAAAAAAATCTCTGACAACTGGGCCAAATTTAACCAAACTTGGCCACACTGGTTATTAGGGTATCTAGTTTAAAAAATGTGTGCCATGACCTGGCTGTCAACCAAGATGGCCGACATGGCTAAAAATAGAACATAGGGGTAAAATGCAAGTTTTACCTATTATTCCGAAAAACTGCAGTAAATAGAGAAAATCTGACAAGGGCAGAAATTTTCAAAATGTTGAGCTTTATCTATTTTCTGTGTCCATCAAAACTGTCAGACGACTTCTTATATTAGTAATTGCCCTTAAATGAATTTTATTATTTTTTAAAAAATTTTGCCTATTTTCCCAAAAATTATAATAGATACACAGAAACTTTAATAAAGCAAAAATGATCAGTAAGACAAGATCTACAAATAAGTCAACTTGACCAAAATCGTCAGACGACTCCTTATTAGAGTTGTTGCTCTTTAATGACATTTTTTAACAATTTTTTCGTTATTGCCAAAAATGATCAGCACGACAGGATCTACAAATATTCAACATATCCGAAATCATTAGTCAACTCTTTATCAAAGTTATTGCCCTTTATTGATGATTTTCCTCATTTTTATACGCCTGTTTACCGGATGTATTATGGTATACTGTTTGTCCGTCCGTCGTCAACATGTCGGACATTAACTCAAAAACGCTTTAACCAATTTGCATGAAACTTTGGTGAAATGTTAATATCTATTTTTGTAACCTCTCTTTCGATTTTTATTGTCTATTATCTTGAAAACTAATAGATGGATAAAAACTTTCGATAGCACAAATGGTCGGCAATACAAGGATCTACGAATAAGCCAGATATCTTCATTCGACTCTTTATTTGAGTTACTGCCCTTAAATGATTTTTTTTTTTAATTTTATGCATTTTTTGCTTTTTATTTTGAAAACTATAATAGATAAAAAGAAACTTTAAAAAAGAAAAATTATGAGCAGGATAAGTTCTACAAATATGTTATCATGACTAAAATAGAGTTATTCCCCTTTAATGATGATTTTTGTTGAGCCTTCGACTTTTGTTGAAAAAGCGAGACATAGCGATCCTACATTCCGTCGGCTGCGGCCACAAATATTCACTCTGTGGTTAAAGTTTTTTAAATTTTGATAACTTTCTTAAACTATCCTGGATTTGTACCAAACTTGGACAGAAGGTTGTTTATGATCATAAGATAGTATCCAGAAGTAAATTTTGTAAAAAAAAAAATCCTGTTTTTCTGTATTTTACTTATAAATGGACTTAGTTTTTCTGCCAGGAAACATTACATTCACTCTGTGGTTAAAGTTTTTAAAATTTTAATAACTTTCTCAAATTATCCTGGATTTCTTCCAAACTTGGACAGAAGCTTGTTTATGATCATAAGATAGTATCCAGAAGTAAATTTAAAAAAAAAAATCCTGTTTTTCGGTATTTTACTTATAAATGGACTTAGTTTTTCTGCCAGGAAACATTACATTCACTCTGTGGTTAAAGTTTTTAAAATTTTAATAACTTTCTTAAACTATCCTGGATTTGTACCAAACATGGACAGAAGTTTGTTTATGATCAAAAGCTAGTATCTAGAAGGAAATTTTTATTAAAATTTTGTACTTGTTATCCATATTTTACTTATAAATGGACTTAGTTTTTCTTCCAGTTAACATTACATACAGTCTGCAGTTAAAATTTTTAAAACTTTTATTAGATTCATAAACTATCCTGGATTTTTACCAAACTAGGACAGAAGCTTCTTACAATAAAAAAATTGTATCGAGAGGAATATTTTTATTAAATTTTTGCCTCATCTCATTTTTGTTGAGCCTGCGATTATCAGCAAAAGTAGGCGAGACACTGGGTTCCGCGGAACCCTTACAAATTTTTATTTGAAAATTGGCCATGGAGACTGTAAAATTGTTTGAAAAGAGTTTATGTTTGTGTTCTGGTTGTATGTATGTGTACCCACAATACCCAGCTTTCTCATTTCCTATTGTACTAGGACATCAAATTTTTTTGCCATGTTTTGGGATTGACTTTGAAAAAAAAGAATCTCACATTAAAAATTATTTGCAGCATTTCCTGAAATCAATATTTGTACTCATATGTATGTCTATTGTTCAACAATGGCCATGATAAATGCATGAACAAATTATTGAATTTACATTATTAAAATTCTATGAAGAGAGTATAAAATGTTTGTATCTTTGATGTAGGTATATGTACGGACACGACCCCACTTCAGGCAATTCCTAGAGAGAGTATCAAAATTGTTTGAAGTCATCTTATTCACTGCATCAAAGAAAGTTTATGCTGATAAACTACTTAATTTGTTAGATCCTGAGAAAAAGCTAATAAAGTAAGTTTAATTTACTGGATATGCCAGCAACTGGTTTGGGCAGACTATTATGAATTACCAGATGGAAATTATTTTTTTCAGAGAAATCACACTATTATTTGACGATATTTCAATGTATTGACCACAAAAATAGAAAAATGCTGCATATGTAGATGTCATATTGCCTTCAATTTTATACAAAGATGGAGCACTTAATTTTTGAATATGTTTGTCTCATGCATAGTGTTCTGCTGCTTTTGAAAAGGGCAGGGTAATTATTTTTCTCAGAGGGCACTATTAGCGCGATTGGCTACATTTTAAGGGCACCCTTTGCTCGGAGGACTACACTTTTTTTTATATATATCTTTTTAAGATAACTAAGAATTCAATGATTTTATTTTTTATTAACTTGAATTAGCTACATCAAACAACAGAACAGACATAATTGTTAATCTCTGGAAAATTCGAACAACCTTGCAAACACCACATCCTCCTCCAAATCATCACACCCAATCTTCTTTTGGTGACTTCAGGTTCTTTAACCCCATGAATATGTTTCCACATTTTGTTTTTTCTTCAAATTCGGATGTTCGCGAAAAATTGTAAATGCAAACTGATATTGGCACAATTTCCGAATTCTAACAACTGGTTCCCTATAAAATTGTGATGACGACGGTTATGTTTCTGATTAAGGGGGACCAGTGAGAGTGCCGATCCTGGGTTTGTGAACGCTAGATTTTACTTGTTGAGTACTTTTTTTCTATTCGCCACCTGGGCTACCACAACTGAATAAAAAGGTTGCCCAGGTCAATTTTTGGTCCCCATGGGCAACTAGGCGACCGTTAATTTTTTTCCCTGTGAACCTTATATTCAATGCTTTTTACCACCAAATTACAGATCAAGTTCTAGCTTGGGAGGCGTCACTTTCACTGTTCTTGAGTTGTGTCACTCTCACTGTATTGAGTTATGTCCCTTTTATAAATGAAAATAATTTGCAAGTTTTCAGTTTCTGCACTCTAACTTTACTTTGCTTCAAACAAATGTTATGAAACTTGTACACAATGCTTACATCATCTTAAAATGTTACTATGTTCTTATATAAAGATTCAATACATACATTAACATAGTGACAGATTTTACAAATTAGAAGAATATTTAATCATCATGATTTTGATTTAACACTATATTTCATATTAAGGGCTATTCCAATAAAATGTATGTGGGAGGGTAGGAAGGGACTTTCAAAACATCCCTACAACCAAGAACCATTTTTTAGATAATTTTGCATAATGTTAATAGACCCATACTTAAAAAAGACCCATGACCCACATTCATTAATTAGACTTCCCTTTCTACCCTCCCACAAACATTTGAATTGAATAGCCCTTAAGTCATTGTGCATCACTTTGAATTCAATTTAAAGGTTGGTACTGTTTTGAAAAATTAGCTATTTTACTAAAATTAGTAATACATTGTATTATATGAACTTTTATTTTTATTATTGTTTCAGACATCAGTTGTTAAGTGAACATTGTGTCAATTGGAATAATTGTAATAAATTACTTGTAATACATTTGTATGAAATGGACTTATATTATTGTTTTAGACATCAGTTGTCTAGTGAACATTGTGTCGGTTTGAATTATTGTAATAGATTTGAATTATATGGATTTGTTTAATATTATTTTAGACATCGGTTGTTTAGAGAACACTGTGTCTGTGTGAATGGCAACAATTACATCAAAGACCTGACAATTTTAGGGCGAGACTTGAGGAAAACCATTATCATTGATAATTCACCACAGGCCTTTGGGTATCAGGTGAGTACATGTATTAACAACACTGAATTGAGATATCATCACTACTGGCCATTCATTGTCTGGAGGGCATATAAAGGAAAACACTATTTGGACATTCCAACTATAATTTAATTATTGCAAATACTGTACAGTTTTCGTGTAAATTTATTTTCCAAAATGGTGCAGTGAATATGAATTGGTGTGCTGTATTTGAATTACCAGAAAAAATATAGAATGTTTGATTTTTTTTAATTTCGAAAGCATTTAAATTTTCATTTTCATAAAATAAGATGACGTATGATTGCCAATGAGTCAACTACCCACCAGAGACCAAATGCCATAGAAACATAATATGTAAAACAATGCAAATGAGAAAACTGACAGCCTGATTTATGTTCATAACAAAAGTCTTCATTTGCTTCACAATATAGAACAGGTGAGTTTTACTACAATAACAAATATCAAAGATGATTGTATTATGAAGACAGATAGAGGTAATACCTGATTAGGTTGTAATAAAGCTGTCATATATGCTGGGCTTGGGTCATTATTTGTCAGGTCAGTCTTTTTACATAGTATGACAAGAGTTACTTCCCTTTGACAAGAGATCTGTTTTAATATTTTCAGCTAGACAATGGTATACCAATAGAAAGTTGGTTTGTTGAACCATCTGACAGAGAACTGTTGAATTTGTTACCATTTTTAGAAGAATTAGTGTTTAAGGTTTGTGTGAAGTATTATTTCTGATTGTTTTGGACAGGGACCCTATTTTAATTTGGATGGAGCTGATTGTCTAAAGGAGGCATATTCTTAGGGCTATCGACTATCGAAGGGAAAATTACACAAGGGGGGGTTTATCAGGAGTCCTTTTTAGCTCACCTGGCCCAAAGGGCCAAGTGAGCTTTTCTCATCACTTGGCGTCCGTCGTCCGTCTCCGTCGTCGTCGTTAACTTTTTACATTTTGAACTTCTTCTAGAGAACCACTGAATGGAATGAAACCGAACATTGCATGAATGTTCCTTATGAGGTGCTGACCAAGTGTTGTTACTTTGCAGTCGGTCCATCATCCAAGATGGCCGCCAGCGGGTGACTTAGTTTAACATGGGACCCTTTGGGAAATACATACAAATGTCTTCTTTTAGAGAACCACTGAATGGAATGGAACCAAACATGGCATGAATGTTCCTTATGAGGTGCTGACCAAGTGTTGTTACTTTGCAGGCGATCCATCATCCAAGATGGCCGCCAGCAGGGGACTTAGTTTAACATAGGACCCTTTGGGAAATACATACAAATGTCTTCTTTTAGAGAACCACTGAATGGAATGGAACCAAACATGGCATGAATGTTCCTTATGAGGTGCTGACCAAGTGTTGTTACTTTGCAGTTGATCCATTATCCAAGATGGCCGCCAGGGGGGGACTTAGTTTAACATAGGACCCTAAGGGAATTACATACAAATGTCTTCTTTTAGAGAACCACTGAATGGAATGGAACCAAACATGGCATGAATGTTCTTTATGAGGTGTTGACCAAGTGTTGTTACTTTGCAGTTGGTCCATCATCCAAGATGGCCGCCAGCGGGGGACTTAGTTTAACATAGGACCCTATGGGAAATACATGCAAAATGTCTTCTTTTAGAGTACCACTGAATGGAATGGAACCAAACATGGCATGAATGTTCTTTATGAGGTGTTGACCAAGTGTTGTTACTTTGCAGTTGGTCCATCATCCAAGATGGCCGCCAGGGGGGACTTAGTTTAACATAGGACCCTATGGGAAATACATACAAATGTCTTCTTTAAGAGTACCACTGAATGTAATGAAACCAAACATTGCATGAATGTTCCTTATGAGGTGCTGACCAAGTGTTGCTTCTTTGTTGCCGATTTACTGTTCAAGATGGCCACCAGGATATTTTATTAAATAACGGGGACCAATATTAAACCAAATTTGGCCTCAATCATTATTTGGGTATCTGTTATGATTTTTATCTATCTTTACATGATTTCTAAAACCAAAGTAGAGTCAGGTGAGCGACACAGGCTCTTGAGAGCCTCTAGTTTATTTTGGGGTTAATTGTTTTCTGTAATAGATCAGTGGAAAGATATAGAATATTTATGTAAAAAAAAATAATGGATTTCTTACACACCCGAATATTGATTTCTTAAAAAGCCATTTATCTGGATTGAAGGGCTGTTAAGCCTTTTGACTTGATTGAAGGGCAAAAATTAATCTAACTAAAATGTACAGAGCAGCTTTGAGAAACAAAATACAGCTTACCTTTTGTCTGAGGTGCAGATAGCTTAAATGGTACTGGATTTAATAGGGAGAGAAGATAGATACAAAGGGGAGATCTGAAACTACAGGACAAGGAACCACAATGTAATAAAATAATAGGCATCTTGGAAACTTGTTGAAATAAATGATAATTGACTTTGAAAAACAACTTATTTTGTTAACAAAAGGAAATGTTAGGCAAATGTGTGAACCAGCAAAGCAAAACAAAAAATACTATAAACATGATTAAGTCAATAAATAATATTCAGTAATAGACCACTGTCTGCCATGTTGCCATCCTTTGTTTATTTTCATTAAGTCTCTGTTATTTTCAGCATGAAGATGTTAGACCTGTTATTCACGACCATTTCCGTCTACACACACTTCTTCCACCATAGTCATGGCAACGGTTACCACGGTGATGCATGAAGAACTGTTAACAAGGTTACAAATCATGTAAAAGTTTGTTATATTTTTATACACATGCAAAATGACTGTTGTTTTGTTGTTAAGATAATTGATAGGTCAAATGCACATATAGTTTTATGATTTTATGGATAATCTAATTTTATGTGACCAGGCCAGTACGGCACAAGACTACAAACCATTGGAATTTTATTGAGTAATAATGTAATACATTTTTATGATGCAAGGACCACCATTTCTTCTTTCAATTATTTTGTTAAATTGTGGTTACTAATCAACCTTCATGCCTTGAAAGACCCATTTTAACAGAACTTTCTTCTGCTGAGGAGTTGAAATATTAGGCCTAAAAAAATTAGGATATATTTTATTTTATTCCAAGCATGATAAGAAATTAAAAAATAATACCATTTTTTTCTTTTAAACATGCTGAAAAACAAACTATTTAGGTAGACTCAATTATTTTATTTTCAAAAAGTATTTGACAGATTTAAAAAGGTGAAAACAGTCTGACTTGAACAGTGCTTGTTTAAAGGGGTGAAAGTAGGCAGGGTAAGCAGAAACAGCTCATGTTAAAGCCATACTTGTAAAGTACCTTAGAACCAATACTTCAGCTTGGCATCTTTTAGAAAGAAAGTTAATATATTGAATAATTTGATAAACTGCAAAGGAATAACTTAAATTAGGCAGAGCTGACTTCCTTTCTTTTTTAAAATGTAATAAAAAAAAAATGTAATGAAGTATAAGTTGAGATTAGTATTTCCCATATTTATAAGTTGTGGAGTCCACACAATAACTCTTGTAATTTATTTGGCATGAATGATGCTACACTATGCAGCTTGAAGACCAGTATCCTTCCCTTTGAAGAAATGGTGAACCATGTTCAATATGAGCATTACAGGTCAGTGTTTGTGGTTGCCTGACCACATAGAGGGAAACTCATTTAAAGAATATTTTGCAAACCTTTTTTTGTCTTCCAAAATGAATGATTAAAAGCTAATAAGGCCATTTTGACAAATTCTTGGTACACTTTATACCAAATTCAAGTCTCCTTTTTTTTATAGAATTATTTGTTGATATCAAACAAACATGTTATATTGCTAAACAAATACAACAGGCTTACTATGCCAAAAACTTATTTGTGTGACGTTGAAATTTGGTTGACATTTCTGCTCTGATAGAATGTATATAATTGGGCAGAGTTATTTTTAAGAAATAGATTGTCATTGTGAATATTTTTATTATATACTTTGTTTAAATTCTGCATGTTGATAATTGGCCAAAATGCTTGTTAAGCTTTTATTTTTGTTTATTCTCAAAAATTAAGTAACAGCTGTTCCAGAAGTAAACGCATGGGAGGCACTTTTTTAGACCCATAATAAAAAAAGAAATTCTGCTTTGAATTCTACACAAATTCTAAGGAAAATGCAACCATCCACAATCGTTATTATCAATTTAAGAACAGTCCTAAATGAGTTTTTGTTTCTATCTTCAAAAATGATACACAAACTACTTCCTTTGATATTCAATATTTTTGAAGATATTTTTCACAATTTTTTTCTTCCAAACACAGGAAATGCTGTCAAGTTTTTTTGACTTATTTCTTACAACTGTCCTTTCTTCAATGACCAATCAAATGTTAATAGAAGTGCTTTCCATCCTCCCACAAGTGGTCAATTGTAATTACAAACTAGGTATAGTTGAATTAAATCTATCCTTCAACAGGTTAGTATCTAGTTCAGGATTATATTTTATGGGTTTATAAATTGGCCATAATTAGCACAGAATTTATTCTCAAGTGAAACTGTACAAAATAATGTTAACCAATTATATATACTATATTATACATGTTGAAGAAGAAATTTTAATTTTTTGCCTTTTTGTTCTTATATTATGCAGTTTTATTATTTTATCCTCATTTTAAACCTATGTTTTACCAATATCTTATATACATGATGTTTTTTGTTGATTTTAAAAATGAATTTTACCTAAGCATGGAACAATTTTTGTTCATGTGTTTTTTGAATTGTACAAAGTGTTTAAGTTTCATTGTTTGTGGTAGTTATTTGTATCAACAGGACATGTTGAGCTTGATGTGGGGACATCAAATGTCTGTGTTGGTGAGATTTTCTTTTAGAGTTAAAATAATAATGCTTGTTTCCACTAATATGCTGAAAAAAATAAGTGGAGGTAGGTAGGCAAATTATATCATTTTCCCAAATGTTTTGGCTGGTTTAACTTTGACAAACTGCCCAACTTTGGTAGTGCTGGTACACAAATGACAAAAAAAATATATAAGATATCTTAAAGAAATGAAAAAAGCTCTCAATGTACAGAAATTTCTTACATTTTATATTTTCATAGAGTAGTACCAAATTTAATCACATTTTCGTTATGTTTCGTTTGATGTAAAAAAAAAAATCTTAAAATAACAGTTGATAGCAATTTGTAGATATCTGAAATGTGCGATCTTTCCATACAACAGTTCTCTGAACTTGAATCATGATAGTCATTTAATTCAAGGGATATAATTCTGTAAGATATGACTAAGTAACACAAACTATGAAATGGTACAGTGTATTTTGTTTTTTGTTTTATTCACTGCTGTAAGTAATCATGATGTATAAATAAATAAAAATGGCAAATTGTGTTAGAGACCATCTCAAAATGTAGCAGTTTATAAGGTTAATTCATATGATTACATTTTCCTTTACTTTGTTGAAGTTAAGGAAAAACCAATGAAACGTTGCTTTTATGTAGCAGCATAAGGTTTCAATGTGGTTCAAGATAAAAGTAAATCTTTTTTAATTTTTTTTTTTGGGAAAAGAACTGCTACGTTTTGAGATGGTCCATTTAATATGTATGCAATATTATGTATAATATAATACAAGTTTTTTGTTGGAAGCCCTGATATCGATCTGTTATTTCCATAAGTCCCTTTTTCTTGAATCTTTGATCAGAAATGAATTGGACAAGTTATTTTTTTGGTCAGTATTGTTCAATCTTAATCACCAACCAAATAGAAATAAAAAAAAAACCTGATAACATTGATTAAAAATAAATTGCCAATACAAAGAAAGAATGATGAATTTATTTTGTGTATTCAGATTTTTTGTAAACAAACTTTTTAATCTAACATAAATATTTTTGACCATTATTGCAGCCATTATTATTCATGGGGGACTAATTTGATGATTTTTGGACAATGTGTACCCCAGACTGCATTTACTTAAATTTGTGTGTAGAACTTATAAAAATCGTGTATCAAATATCCACAAAAAATACACTTTGGCCTTGATTCACTTAAATTTGAAGTCAAGAAAAATGAATGATTCTACAATGTCACTCTTGTGAAGTTCTAAACAGCTTGAACTTCCCAGCCCTCTTTCCACAAAAAATTATCTAAAGATGAAAAAGTGAGTCCCACTTCCACCATTTTATCATGTTGATACTTGGCTAAAGTGTCTTTGTATGTTTCATTACATGTCATGTGGTGTAGGTACATGTATAAAGTCTTGTCATCTGGGAAATAAAACAAGTTTAAATATGTTGTCACTGTCAAGAAAGTACTCAAATTTTTGATGGGAAGGTAGTTTGATATTACAATGCAGGCAAAACTTAGCAAAAATGTAAAAATTTGTTGTTTTGAAAATATAATGATCCTCTGTAAAAAAAAATTCTCATGGATGTAAATTATGGAATTTTCTGTTTATCGGCAAAATTTATAAATGTGTCATTCTTAAAAAAAAGTGTTGAGAAATACTAATGAAGTTGTATTTGTTTGAAGATGATTTCCTTAATTATAAACTGAAAGTGATGACCATTTATGTACACGTCAGCACACATGCATTTTCCTATTTACATATTCATGATAGCAATTGGCAAAACCATTTATATATATATGTCCTCTGTGTCCACCTTTTAGAAAGGACATGCCCCCCCCCTTTTTTTTTTTTTTTAAACATATGCTATGTTTTTAAATTTTCCGTTCAAATTTAATGGACGTCCCATCATGGGCAAAGTCCAACTAATTATAATGTATTAACAATAGATTAATGTTTTTTTCTGAAAAGAGGAATTTAAAATGGACATACGGTCATGAGAATCAAAATTTGAATATTTTTTTCCAGAATATATGCATTTCATTCACTTACTTGTTTTGCAATAATATTATTTAATGAATTTGACCTGACCGGGCTTAAACAGCTTTATAGATGGACAGTGTTCTCTTAAAAAAATGGACGTACTTTGTAGATTTTGACATTTTTGCCTTTATTCTTATTGGTAGTCGAAATATGTTAGTCATTTGTTAGGTACTCGTTTAAGCCCAGTTAGGTGAAATTGTTTTAAGTTATTTAGAAATTGTACATGAATAACAACCCGTCATATTTTTTTGTTTTTTCTGGCTCTCAATATATTTAGCTTTATTTTGTTGTAGGCAGCAGAAGGTCACATCACTAGGTCAAAGGTCATTCTTCATTGTAATAATTGATGGCAATCAACATGTTTTGATAGATTTTAGTTGTAATAATTTGTATATGTTATATGACTTAAGTGAATCATGTCACTCCTGATTTGTTTATAAAGTGAGTCACTATGATTAAGCTTACATATTTGAGACAGTTGTAGAACCAACTAGTTCACTAGAATCAACCCTGTCAACTTTAATGGCTTTATTCTACAATAATTACTGTGCAGATAAAGGTTGTTCCATTAAGACATATGTGGGGCACAGGGAAGGAAGTTTGAAATTTCTATTATTGGTAGATGTCAAATACTTTTATTGACAATGACATTCTAAAATTGTCTCTAAGGTACCCTTTTAGAGTGCCTTCTCTGGTTACCATGTTTGTTGGAACAGCCCTAACTGCTGCTTAGTTTTCTTTTATTGGTAAAGTTTATTGATTAATTCTAAATATAAAGTATAAATGCAGTGTATCTGTTGACAACAGGATTTATCTGTACACATCAGGTGTTGGTTCATGCCACAGGAACTAAGGATGAATACAATGGCATATGGTTGAAGGGATTATTATGTGTTAACTAATTTTGTGGCATTTATATTTTTGTTTTTGATCTGGTACAGAAAAAATGATTGTCCATATATTTCTGTCCTAGAAATAAACTCTGACATCTAGTCTTTTGCAGTTTTACCTGGACTGTGATTCACACGCAGAACAAGTATGCTTTAAGAACTGTTCTCTGGATTACTAGGTGAACATCCCAAAGTACCATTAGTTTAAAAAATGGAAAAAAACTGAATATCTTTGATGTAATTTAATAATCTATCAGGCTAAAATTATAGAATAGGATGTTTAATGTTATGTGGGGGAATGACTCTTGTATGAAATGATACAGACACAAATAGTAATTGTAAGTGATTCTATATAAATATACTGTGATAAAATTGCTAAAAGTAGAGTTATGTTGATAGATTTATCATGTAAAACCATTGATGTGACCTTAAATCTTTATAATGGATGTAAAATTTGAAATAAATGATAAAAATTCACTTTGTTTACTCTTTATTGCTAGGTCATGCTGTATAGGTTGCCTCAATTGAGTAGACAGGACAGTTGATATATACTTGCCATATATTTATTACATGGAACATTTGATCTGTATTATAATACTGTGGATTCATTACTCCTGGTTTTTATACGACCGCAAAAATTAAAAATTTTTTGGTCGTATATTAGTATGACGTTGGCGTCGTTGTCGTCGTCCGAAGACACATTGGTTTTCGCACTCTAACTTTAGTTTAAGTGAATGGATCTCCGTGAAATTTTACCATAAGGTTCAATACCACAAAAGGAAGGTTGGGATTGATTTTGGGGGTTATGGTACCAACAGTTAAGGAATTAGGGGCCAAAAAGGGGCCAAAAATAAGCATTTTTGTAACTTCCAGACATAACTTGTGTGTTAGTGTATGGATCTCTCTGACATTGTACCACAAGTTTCCATATCACAAAGGGAATGCTGGGATTGGTTTTGGGGGTAATTGCCTCAAAATTTTAGGAATTAGGGGCCCAAAAAGGGGCAAAAAACAAGCATTTTTCTAGTTTCATGATAATAACTTGTGTGTAAGTGTATGGATCTTTCTGAAATTGAACTACAAGGTTCCATATCACAAAGGGAAAGCTGGAATTGAGTTTGGGGGTAATTGCCCAAAACATTTAGGAATAAGGGGCCAAAAATAGCATTTTTATAGTTTCCAGACAATTACTTGTGTTCAAGTGTATGGATCTCTCTGAAATTGTACTGCAAGGTACCATACCACAAAGGGAAGGCTGGGATTGAGTTTGGGGGTGATGAATCATAAGGGATTTCAAAAAATTGGGGGGGGGGGGGGGGGGGGTTTCCTTTTTTTTCTTTTTAAATTTTCCATTTTAAGTTGGTTATTTCTGATTTATATTTAAAAGCAAATAATAATGATATGGTAGGAGATACACACCAAACAGGATGTGTAAATTATTATATAATAAGTATTGTGCAATAGCAAGAAATTTTCAATTGCACAGTATTGCGCAATAGCAAGAAATCTTCAATTGCACAGTATTGCGCAATAGCAAGAAATATCCAATAGCACAATATTGCGCAATAGCAAGAAATTGTCAATTGTACAGTATTGCGCAATAGCAAGAAATATTCAATTGCACAGTATTAATTGCTTATATCTTGACCAATTTCAATGGGGTTTTATTCTTGAATTCTTGGGGTTCTTTAATATGCTGAATCTAACCGTGTATTAAGTTTTTGGATTTTGGGCCCCGATTTTAAATTGGTCCACATTGAGGTCCAAAGGGTCCAAAATTTAACTTTGTTTGATTTCATCAAAAATTGAATTATTGGGGTTCTTTGATATGCCGAATCTAACCGTGTATTTAGATTCTTAATTTTTGGTTCCGTTTTCAAATTGGTCTACATTAAGGTCCAAAGGGTTCAAAATTAAAATTGAATTCTTAGGGTTCTTTGATATGCTGAATCTAAACATGTATTTAGATTTTTGATTATGGGCCCAGTTTTCAAGTTGGTCCAAATCGGGGTCCAAAATTAAACTTTGTTTGATTCAACAAAAATTGAATATATGGGGTTCTTTGATATGCTGAATCTAACCATGTATTTAGATTTTTGATTTTTGGGCCCCGTTATCAACTTTGTCCACATTGAGGTCAAAAGGGTCCTAAATTAAACTTTGTTTGATTTCATCAAAAATTGAATTCTTGGGGTTCTTTGATATGCTTAATCTAACCATGTATTTAGATTTTGGATATTGGACCATAATAGGTGAATGTCCAATTTAATAAAAAAATTTAAGTTCTTAGACCACATTCATTCTGTGTCAGTAACCTAGGCTGTGTCAAATATTTAATCACAATCCAAATTCAGAGCTGTATCAAGCTTAAATGTTGTGTCCATACTTGCCCCAACTGTTCAGGGTTCGACCTCTGCGGTCGTATCAAGCTGCGCCCTGCGGAGCATTTTATTTATTGTTTTTTATTGTTGTGCCCCCGCCATAGTGGAGGGGGCATTAAGTCTTACCCTTGTCTGTCTGTACTTACATCCCAAACCCTTGTCTGTCTGTACGTACATCCCAAAATCTCTAACTTTAAGTTTGTCTCAACCAAATGTTATGAAACTTATAATCAATGCTTATTACCACAAAACTCAGATCAAGTACAAATTTGGGTAGCTTCACTTTTACAGTTCTTGAGTTATGTCCCTTTATAACGTTATATGCAAGCGGGGCATCATCTGTGTCCCATGGACAAATTTTCCATTTATAGTTATAAGTATACATGAACAACAAATTTGCGTTCAACAAGCTTCACATCATATTTAGGCATGTATGCAGACTTTGGCAAAACCGTTAAAGCAAGATTTCATGAAAAATGTATGGCCATGAAAATAAATGAATTGTTATTTTACTTGCTAGGTCATTGTGATTCTTAAATGTCAGAAATGGTGTAGAATTTTATGTATACATTGAACAACCAGACAACACAAAAAACTCTAAAAAGAGATTGGTAAGTCAAATAGACTAGTGCCTAAAATCTATAGACAAGTAGTGAATAAATATGACTAACTATGACTATATAATACGAGTCTCTTTCACTTTGTAAACTGAGCCATGTTCTCATTCCAACAAAACAAAAACAAATTCTTGACATTACAATTTAATTTGCAAGGTCAGATAGGTTGATGGTTAACACCACTTTTTGTCCCCTGGTCAACACGTTTTCCATGGAGAATGTTTGGTGCCACCCCCTCAGTCATGGTCTATTGACTTTTAAACTTTTGCTTAGTTTACATGTATTAGTTTGTGATAAGGTCAGTTCAAGATGAACTGCTAATGTTAGGTCAATGATATTTGGTTTGCAAATTTATTGGTATTTGCAAGTCTCGTTTCCATGGAGATTATATAGCCCCACCCCCTCATCATGGTTCATTGGCTTTGAATATTTGCATAACTTACATGTTAAAAGTATTGCTATTTTAATTTCAACATTTGCATTATCATAATTACAAAAGGCTAGACATATCTCTGTGTTAACAGTTTATTTAAAGAGTTGGAAACATTAATTATATGGAAAATTGCACTGTTAGCGCTCTCACGTGTACAATTCTTGGCAGATATCTATAAAACTTATATCATAGGTTTATATCAGCAATGTCTCGGACGAGTTAGAAAATCAGTACAGATGAACTATTTTTATGCCCCCGCCGTAGGGGAGGGGGCATTAAGTTTTACCCTTGTCTGTCTGTCTGTACGTACATAAGTACGTCCCAAAATTGGTTTGCATTCTCTAACTTTAGTTTGCCTCAACTAAATGTTATGAAACTTATCACAAAACACAGATCAAGTTTGAATTTGGGTGGCGTCACTTTTACCGTTCTAGAGTTATACCCCTTTACAAATGAAAAAAATGCTGAGTTTATCGTTTCCGTTCTCTAACTTTAGTTTGCCTCAACCAAATGTTATGAAACTTATACACAATGCGTATTACCACAAAACACAGATCAAGTTTGAATTTTGGTGGCGTCAATTTTACTGCTCTAGAGTTATGCCCCTTTACAAATGGAAAAATTGCTGAATTTTTCGTTTCTGTTCTTTAATTTTAGTTTACCTTAACCAAATATTATGAAACTTAAACACAATGCTTATTAACACAAAACACAGATTAAGTTTGAATTTTGGTGGCTTCACTTTTACCGTTCTAGAGTTATGCCCCTTTACAAATGAAAAAAATGCTGAATTTTTCGTTTCCGTTCTCTAATTTTAGTTTACCTTAACCAAATGTTATGAAACTTATACACAATGCTTATTACCACAAAACACAGATCAAGTTTGAATTTTAGTGGCGTCACTTTAACCATTCTAAAGTTACGCCCTTTACAAATGGAAAAATTGCAAAATTTTTATTTTCTTCTAAATATTAAGTAATTTTTAAAATTGGAGTTATATTTCTTTGTCCATGATTATAGTTGAATCAACTACAATCAAATCTTTATACAATGCAATGTTTAATTTTGACTTCCACTGATAAAACACAGATCAAGTTGAATTTGGGTAGTGTCACTTTAACCATTATGGAGTTATGCCCTTTATAAATCGAAAGATTGCAAATTATTTAGTTTCCATTCTGTATCTTAAGTTTGCCCCAACCAAACATTATGAAACCTATACACAATATTCATTACCACATAACTAAGATCAAGTACAAATTTTTTGTTTCCGTTTTCTAACTTTAGTTTGCCTCAACCAAATGTTATGAAACTTATACACAATGCTTATTACTACATAATACAGATTGAGTACGAAATTTGGTGGCGACACTTTTACCATTCTTGAGTTATGTCCCTTTATAAACACAAACATTGCTAAATTTTTCGTTTCCGTTCTCTAACTTTAGTTTGTCTCAACCAAATGTAATAAAACTTATACACAACCGTTCAAGAGTTATGCGTGTTTACAAATAGAAAAATTGCTGAATTTTTAGTTTCTGTTCTCTACTTAAGTTAGCCTCAACCAAATGTTATGAGACTTACACACAATGCTTATTACCACAAAACTCAGATCAAGTTCAAATTTGGGTAGCGTCACTTTTACCGTTCTTGAGTTATGTCCTTTTATAACTATATGATATGCAAGCGAGGGCATCATCGGTGTCCACATGTGGACACTATCCACATTTATTTAAAGAGTTATGCCCCTTGGAAATATTGATTATATGGAAAATTGCACCGTTAGTGCTCTCATGTGTACAATTCTTGCCAGATATTTATGAAACTTATATTTTAGGTTTATATCAGCCATGTCTTGGACGAAATCGAAAAACAGTGCCAATCAATTATTGTCCACCGTACAACGCGTTGCGGGACATAGAAATACCGGGCTTCTGTTCGTCTGTCCAGTTTTGTTAGCGCTCTCACGCATACAATTCTTGCCAGATTTTTATGAAACTTATATCAGGTTTATATCAGCATTGTCTTGGATAAGTTCGAAAATCG